CTAGGTCTACTGGAACCCGAGTTATGAATTTCCGGTCAAACACACACACACACACACACACAGACAAACCAACAGACACACTTAGCGCGTTATATATAGTAGGATGAGAGCATTTACAGGAATTCTATGAGCTGGAACGTATGCTTTATAGTTGAGTCACTGAGCCCTTGAAATCAAATTGAAAGCTCCGCTCGCTGCTGCCTGCACGTCGATATCGTTGGCCTCACTGTAGAGTGCATTACCCACGTAGAGCGTGTGCAAGTAAAAGGGAGTTAGCACAGCTGCGAATGATTCAGAGCTAAGGGGCCCTTTTTTCTGTTATAGATAATGTAATACAATTGAAGTAAGTAGAACTGAAGAATTATGACCGCTTCTTACCTTAGTCCAATGCATAATGCAGTGATGCTCAATAAATCGACTTAGATAGGAGTACGAAATTCTTATCAGTGAAACTTAGTTGCTAATTTGCACCTAACAGACATAGGAGTGGGAAGGAACCTCAACTTCATCGGGCGTGTTTCCGAGCGACGGGAGCGCTCACCGATTCCACTCGCATGCAGTCGCGAGTTGTGAAGGGGAGGATTCCGATTCCCAGGTTACGGTAATTGCCGCAAAACCACTGACGCATTTGTAGGAATTCGAGTAGGAATACAGCCTATTCAAGTTTCTCAACTCTGTAATTCACTCCGCTAAACATTCCTCGCTTCTTTGAGGCACCATGATCTTCGAAATGAATAACAGTTTCATTCATTTCCGATTTATGAGAACGAAGGAAGCGGCAGTGCACATGGTAACTCCCTTGCTTCTTGTTTTTGATTGATTCCTGCACAGCCATAGATCGAAGGGAGCAGACTTCACGGTGCAGATAGTTCAGCGGCGAGTCCATTAGAAACACAGGAGGCTGAGACACACCATAAGTTCATGCCACTACTCAACTTTGCCCATCACTGGTTTTCTTGAATGGCTGCACCCTCGCCTCTCTCTTTTTGTGACCGGTAACCGCTTCACAAAATCAGTGTAAACCTGTTCTTCGGAAGAAAGAGACCGCAAAGAGCATTTCAAAGCTTGTACCAAATGACTAATTGCAGAATGATTTTTCATTCTATTATAGCTATCAGGCTGTACTCTAGAAAGTCCTAGTGCCTCATAACCATCAAATGTGGGTTGTAATACCAAGGATCACGCATTGGCCGACAGCTAATCGGCAACAATTTTCATCATTCCGTATGATACTAGTTGAAGTGAACTAGAAGTGATGCGGGCAGGTCGCTGATCCTGACCATCTCACCAAACGGACCGATCAGGTGNGTTTACGGCCGTTGTGGTCATGACTAATGGAAACTAAACGCAAATTTAAGAAAAAACAAAAATAAAAGTTAGTTGCACAGTTTTCAGCCAATTTCATGGCATCGGATCGTGAACAAGTAGTAAAGGCGATTTTTTATTCATCGAAAAATCCGAGCATGGAAGTGACATTCAGCCCTGACGTTTATGGGTCAATTATTCAAATAGACAATATGGCAATAGTGCATTTTAATCTTTTTGGGGTATTTCACAGGAGTGTAAATTACCCAAGCAATCCTTTTTCCATGATTACAGTTATCTTTGCTGAAGTTACCATATTCTGTTCAGGTCATCGAAATGACTACAATTCTTTGGTCGACAACGAGATTCGATCCTAGGACGTTGAGGATCCGATTAGGACCTTTAAAAAAGACAGTGTCCGCATTGCTCAATTGGATACAGTAGGTTATCTTATAAATGCGATAACAAGAAGTAAAGCTCGAATCAGACGAAGTATACGATGTATGTAAGAACCGAAATCCTGGAACAACAACAAGCACTCTTAAAATCTAGTGTTCAATAATCGTGTCACATGTCAGCTTTTGGGCCGTATGCTTAAGCCCAGGGTAGGGAAGGGGGAGAGTCTCCCCAAGGAAATGTTTGCCGATAGCGCGCCTTTTTCCGTGCCCTCTAGCGTTCAGCATTGGAGAAGAGCGGCGCCCCCATAGTCCAGCTAGACTTTCAGCACCCGACATTTTGAAAGCGAGCCCCGGAGTGCATTAGCAGCTACTTTCGAAAGCGAGGTTGTTAGGCCTTCATCTCTAATCTTCAGCCAGCATTCTTCAATAACTATTTCGTCTTTAATGGCTTCATTTTTTTTTACTTTCTTGAGTATTGTTAAAATTAATGCTTCCAAAACACTTCACCCTCTGGAGAAACTTGCCGACTTGTCAATAATTTCAATTGAGGGAGAACTCTCTCGACCTTCAAACCCGCGTTGCTTACGTTCAGATTTGAGAGTTCGCGTTCTCTTACCTATCGAAATGAAAGCCCACACTACAATCACGTGACGTGCCAGAGGCATAACCCTTCCACCTCAAAGTCTTCAACTGCTCTCGTTGTCAGTGTCCCAATCTTCTCTAATAGCGTAAATCGACCGACTGGTGCATTTGGGGATGCGCATCGTCCCGCGCGTCCGTCGAAACAAGGTCACGCCGCAGTCGCTGTCCCCCGAGATCCTTGGCGGAAGTCGCTGTTGGCAAAAAGCGTCTAGCGTTAAAGTACTTTTATTCCAGCTCATGCAAAAAAGAGCATTTCACTCATCCTATTCTCTGAGCTGAGGCAACAAAAACTGTGGGAAAATCCTACCCCAATGGTTCTCTCTTTTTTGACGTGAACAAAAAGCTATCCTTTTGTCTGCAAATTATTTCAAGCGTCGCTACAGGTCCATCATTCTCCAGCTCTCGGCCTTAGTTTTAGGGAAGCAGGGCCCAGTGGATTGATTTCCTTCACCTACTTTTTCACCTAATAATCTAAAAGAATGGAGCAGTGAAGCGTAATCTAGTTGAGTCAATAGCCCTCAGCTCACGTATGATGTAAGGGGATAGTAATTGCTGTAATTTGGTTGCAAAATGTTTGCTTTATTAGGGATAGGAGCTGGAAGACAAAGCAGGAAATAAGTTCATATTTAGAAAAAATATCAGGGTATTAAATGAATGGCGTAGTGCAGGGGCAAGTGGCACACTCTTACACACGCTGTCAGAAGTTCGAATTCCGGATTTCCGCCTAGGCCAACCAAGTTTTGCATCCCTCTAGGGTCGATAAACTCTGAAAGGATAAAAATGAAAGTCTCACAAGGTTGGCGATTTGTGGGCAAAACTCCAGTCTCGG